AGGCCCAAGCAAACGGGACATCCAGGATGAGACCTGAGCAAAGCCTACCAACCAGTACAAGACCCCCCACTCAACTCCAGGCACAGATCCAGGTCACCACCACGCCGGAACAGCAGAGCACGGACAAAGCATCTTCTCACACCTCGCCTGACACCACATCCAACATCATATCTGACCTGCTACCCAAGAACTATTCACAACCTGAACTGTGGACTATCCAGCTGATTACTGGACTTACAATCTAACCATCTCTTACTTTGCAGGTACCCCCCCAAAATGGCCCACAACTAGTTAACCAGCCCCCGCCCTGACCCCACAAGACGAACCCCCTTAGAACGCACTGGTACCCACCCCACCCCCCCCCCAGGATGAACTCCATGGACTAACCCAACCAGACAGTATCACCTTCCCCATACCTACTCGAACCCTAAAACCCATACAGGACAGACCATGACAACACCATCAGACACCCATAAAATCGTAAAAGAGGACACCACACGACTAACCCGGGGGAAGCTCCCCAAGCCTACCCCCCCCCAACGTAAACGCAATACCACAAATTCACTAACACAGACTCCCACTGACCAGGTCAGGACACCCCCAGACACCCCCCCCAACCCAAGCAAGACGGACGGATAAACCCATTCAAACCAGACCCGTCACTGGCATGGAACTGTTTTATAGTTTAATGTTCACACAAATGGTATGCATGTGATGGCTCCGGATCTGAGTACACACTTATGGCAGAAATGTTTTAAATGCTGTGTTTTTGTAATTATGTTTTCTATTATGTTACCTAATGTTTTATACTACTTATGATAGAAACCGACAACACGATCCTTGAAACAACACTCACAGGACTACAGATGAGGACAACAAGGGACACACTCCAAACACCAACGGAGGGACCACGACTGGCACCTTACACTACAAATAGACACCACCGCACCGCCAAATCGTGAGTGCTGCACCACACCTAGCGCGGGGGGGGGAGAGGAGTAACAGGAACGTGAAACTCTTCCTCCTCCTTCCCACCCCCGAACCCCGGGCATCCCGGGCGACACCAACCACACGACCGACCCAAGGTGTAAAACACCGCCTCCCCCCACTTTACCTGGCAACTACCACATAAGACCAGGATAGACACTTTGCAACCCAAACCCCCCGAATTCTATAAACCTCACCCATCCCCCTATCCCACCACCCACTCTCCACCGGAGCCCCCCTAGTAGGAGCAGACGGACGCCCCGAGACCCCCTGGACCCGAAGCCCACACCACACTAAAGAATGCCTACTAACGAACCACCACCACGTCCACACACAACCAGGCCAGACACAATCTCCTACATATCCATTAACTGCAAGGGACTTAACAATCCAGCCAAGCGACATCGCACACTTCGCTGGGCCAATAGAATGAAGGCAGACATAATCCTCCTCCAGGAAACCCATTTTGAGACGAAAAAACCCTTCCCCCTCATCAACAAAAACTACAAACAATGCTACCTAGCAAACTCGCCACAGGGCAAACAAAATGGGGTAGCTATCATGGTTCATAAACACTGCCCGATCACAATCCTAAAAAGCCTCCCAGATCCCCAAGGGAGATCCTTGACGGTCACAGGACAATTTGCCAACCACAAGTACGCAATTACCACAATCTACGCCCCAAACACACCCGAACCAACTTTCTGGACAGCACTACGCACACAACTAAAACTGTTCCCCTCACACCACACCATCCTAGGCGGAGACTTCAACGCACTCCTAACCCCATCTATAGACAGGAAAAGCACAGAAGGAAACAAACCATGCAAGCCCCCCAACCAGGAAAAATGACAAACTCCTTCTGGAGTTTGCCACCCAAACAGGCCTCCAAGACATATGGAGACTCCAACACCACACAACCCCAGACTTTACCTTCTACTCGCACCCACACTCTTCTTACTCCAGGATAGACCTATTCCTAATATCCCCCTCTCTAGTACCTCATACACAATCCACCTCGATAGGTTCAATCACCTGGTCTGATCACGCCGAAGTTTCCCTCAACATAGATAAGCCTCACACAGCCAAAGCATGGACTTGGCGACTAAACCCCACACTCCTACATAACCCCCAAATCAGACAAAAAATCCAACAGGAGCTCACAAACTATTTCGAGGTCAATACGGGATCAGTCCCATCCACGAACATACTGTGGGCAGCCCATAAAGCAACAATCAGAGGAATGATAATTAGCGCACCCAGCGCCCACAGAAAACAAACACTCCGGGAACTGGAACAACACCTGACCTCCCTAAGGACAATAGAAGCCAAACACAAACGCACCCCATCTCAACCATTGCTCGACCAAATTAAATCACACCAACACGCGATAAAGACCTATATGGCTAAAGACTCACAAAAAGCACTACAATGGACCAAACAACTGTACTATGAGAAGTCCAACAAGGCAGACACCCTCCTTGCGCGCAGACTCCGACATAAAACTCTCCAAAAACACATAGACAAAATCACATCACCTGGAGGCCGAACCCATAATGACCCTGACCGCATAGCCTCCATATTCGTTGACTACTTCTCCAAACTATATAACCATAAACCCAACCACACCCTCACTCACCCGACGTTAGGACAAGAAATTCACAATTTCCTGTCGGAAATCCCCCTCCCAGCACTAACAAACCAAGAACGAGACACCCTCGCGTCCCCAATCACTGAAGAGGAAATAGCCCTCACAATAAAGCACATCAAACCCAACAAATGTCCAGGAGCTGACGGCTTTACGGGCCTCTATTATAAAACGTTCAGCGCCACATTGATACCCCATCTAACCGCACTCTGCAATTCTATAATGGAAGGCGACCAGGTACCACAAGAAATGCTCAAGGCCAACATATGCCTAATCCCCAAACCACACAAAACGCACCTAGACCCTGGACATTACCGCCCAATATCCCTCCTCAACACAGACATCAAAATCCTCACGAAAACACTGGCCAACAGAATACAACGTCTCCTCCCAAAACTCGTACACCCAGACCAAGTAGGATTTATCCCCAACCGTCAAGCATGCGACAACACCAGACGCACGATAGACCTAATATGGAGAGCCCAACATAGGCACATCCCCACCCTCCTACTCTCGATGGACGCGAAAAAAGCGTTTGACCGCTTACTCTGGCCCTTCCTATTTGCCGCCCTACGAAAATTCCACTTCCCCAACGCCATTATCACGGCCCTCACAACACTGTCCTCCAACCCCACGGCAACCCTCCTTCTCCCCAACACTGGTCCGCACGAATTCACAATAAGAAATGGAACCAGACAAGGCTGCCCGCTTTCCCCACTCCTGTTTGCCCTCTCCCTAGAACCCCTTCTCCAACTCATTCGCACATCCCCCGAAATCCTAGGCCTCAAAGTCCGACAGGAAGAATATAAGATCGCAGCGTATGCAGATGATATCCTCCTGACTCTCACGGACCCCACTGACTCCCTGCCCCCCCTGCTCACACTCCTCCAAAAATATGCCGGCGTATCCGGCTACAAACCTAACCTAGAGAAAACAGAAGCCCTCCCCCTCAACTTCCCGCAACAACTCCTAA